GTGTATCCCACTTGTTTTATTTTTCTTTCTTCTTTTTGGTTTAAAAGTTTATGTCTTTTTCCCTTCTCCTAGCTAGTTTTATTTATACATTATCTTATTCTTTTGATGGCAAACCTAACAAATACAATATGCATCCCTGATTACTGTCTAGTAAGAATTATTATGACTGCCTTCTCACTAACTCAAGGATCTTAAAATACTTTCTCTCTCTTATTCTATTTTATTGTTTGTGTTATTCTTGCCATAAATTTTATTATACACATTTGGAACCTAGACAATATTACTATTATTTTGTAGAGTTGATGTCCATTTATATACAAATGCTTCTTTTGGAGCTGTTTATTTATTCTTGCATTGTTTGTTTCTGTCTGGGGTTATTTTTCTTTATTAGAAGAACTACCTTTCAGAATGTATTTATTATTTTTCTGCTAGCAAGTAACACTGTTTTTATTTTTAAATGTCATGATTTCATATTCAGTTGAATGAATGTGTATTTCTTTCCATTAAAATTTCAGTATGTTAAAATTAATGTATCAGGTACTATTCAATGTTCTTATATATGGATGAAAATAGATTGAACTAAAAATAAGTTTTGTATTTTATTTATTTATTTTTATTTTATGTGTATGGGTGTTTTGTCTGTATGTATGTAAGTGTTCCCATGTCATGCAAAGCCAGCAGAAGCCAGAAGAGGGCATAAGATCCCCTGGAACTGGAATTATGGATGGTTGTTAACTACCATGTGGGTGCTGGGAATAGAACTTTGGTCCTCTGGAAGAACAGCCAGTGCTCTTAACTGCTGAGCCATTTCTCAAGCTCCAATTTTTCTATTTTTAAAGTTTACATTGTAATAGCACTGTTGTAGATAATGCCTTGTGGTTTCTCCTAACATTATCTTTATGAAATAATACAGAATTTGAAAAGAAAATGCTTTAATTCAAGAGTCAGTTATATTATTTACTACCTGTGTGACCTTGGCCAAATCATATAACTTCTCTGAATTAATTTCCTTATCTGTGATTTGAGAAAAAATAACATTGGCTCCATTTCACTGGGAAAATTGGAGATTCTGTTAAGATATAGATGAAAGTACATTGTAAAGCGTAAAATACTCCTTGTCAGACAAAAGAAAAATGAGGTGGAACCCAATAGACAGATGCTTTTGGAAGCTCTTGTCAAGAAATTCCAATGGACTCTGATATCAGAGTCATTTGAAAACATTTGAAATTTGCCCTGTTTTGACTTTTTTTCTGGTTCCCTGCCTAGAACTTGTAATGCTAACTACTCTTGCCTTTACTTCTCCTTCACATCTCCTGGACACCAGTCAAGGAATTTCTTTTCTCCCTACGGTTAAGAGTTACACAATTTGGGAGTCTTTGAGATAGACCCATTGAGGGGGTACCCCAATTGCCTCACCTTGCGTCCCTGTTCAGCATGGAAGAAGCCAGAGTGTTCTGTGTCTTGATTCCCTCTCTGCAAGCTGGGTAACCTCTTCAGGGGATGGTGTGATAAGAATAGGAGGTAGGAATTGGCTAGGCAGTTAGGGTAAAAAGACCCCAAAGAAAAGTAGCCAGTTTCTTGGCTAAAAGTCAAAATGTCCTTGGGCCTCTTAGCAACATAATCTCTTCCAAAGGCCAAAAATGTCAAAAGTATTTGGGAGCTCTTACCTAATTCCTAAAAGATTTTAGGGTTACCTTTTCAGAGGGGGGAATGTTAGAGAAGCAAAAAGCCCTGTTAAAAAAAGAAAGAGTACACACTGAGTTGTTCAGGAAAAAATGATGGGGAGATATGGCAGGAGTTGGAGGGGAGGGAATGGGCATGGATTTGATAAAAACACCTATATGCATGTATGAAATTCTCAATAAATTTTTTCAAAGTTAAAAAATGTAAAATATCAATCAACTGAAAAGTTCTAGTGTTGTTATTGCTTATTGGAAGAGAAATGGCTTCATTGTGTCTATCTAAAATTCTCTTACATGTGCACATTTTTGTAAGCAATCATGAAATAAACTGTATTACTCATGTACTAATTTATATACATGCTTCCTTTATTAAAAACAATGTTAAAAGTTATATAAAATATAACTTGTAAAAGGTCCATCATAAGCTTATTTCTGATCTTTACAGCAACTAACATGAAGTGGGAAATCTGGCTGTTACATA